AGAGCACTTTGATAGTGTGCTTGCTAACCACAGAATGCGGCCACACAGGGTGTGTGTGTGTGTGTGTGTGTGTGTGTGTGTGTGTGTGTGTGTGTGTATTTGTTTGTGGGGTTTTTTTTGGGTGGGGGGGTCTTTTGACTCATTCCTACTAGCCTGGAGAAATGCTCTTGGAATCTCCCCCACTTAAAAACACCCCTTTCTTGACCCTGAATCCCTGAAGCCACCACCTCATTTCTTTGAGAAGGTGGCCAGACTTCTCAAAGGTCTTCCAATTGCTTTCCCAGCTCCCTGACCATTTTCTCTCCCTGTGGCTACCTCCTTCAGTCCTGCGCTCTGTCCACTAACCGAATCTGCCTGGACTGGGCTCCGTGCCCACGGGTCCCTTCATCTTCAGCTTAGTCCCCCGGCAACACTTTGCAAAGTTCATCTCCATTCTGCCCCCTTATGGGACGCTCTGTTCTCTTGGCTTCCAGGATACCACCCTTCTTGGGTTTGCTTTTTTGCCTTCTTGCGGTTGTTCTTCACTTTTTTTCTTTTTTCTTTTTTTGTTTTCCCCCCGGACACGTTAGAAATCCTCAGGGCTACATCACCAGGTGAGGAGACTTCACGTCTTCCTTTCTTCCTTGGATAAAACGTGGAATTTGCTGTGAGATCCACCTCCCAATCGCATCTTCTTCTGTGGAACTACAGAGGCCTGGGTGCATCTATCGACTTGTTTAAGCTGACTGGGGAGGAGGTCATGGGTAGGTGACCGTAAACAGACAGGGGTGAGGAAGTGTAACGCATACTGAATGATTCCAGGCCTGTTCTTACAGAGCCGGGCACACCCAGAATTTAGAGGGCACTTTGGGATCCCTTTAAGATTGAGTTTCCTGTCCCAGGACAAGAGGTGAGGTCTTGGGCCCGGTCCCACAGGGCTGGCTGCCATTTCCTCACTTTGCAGCGTGATGGCCATGCCCTCCCTTCCCTGAGCGCTGAAGTCCTGTCCTTCTCCCACTTCCTTCCTGCCGAGCAGGCGGTGTTAGGCTGGCTCGTCTAGAGAAACAAAATCAGAGACGCCCATCTATGTATAAGGAAGAATTTTAGATCAAGACGTAATTTCATGTCGAGAAGTTATCCCAACCCAGTCCCACTCAAGGTGCTAAGTCCAATGCAAGCCAGGGCCCCCTTCAGACTCACCTAACTGCAGGCTGACGTCCCAGGAAGGTCAAGTGTGAAGCAGAGAGACCACAGGCCCGTGGGTGCAGCGTCACATGGGTTCAAAGTCGGTGGAAACCTGGGAGGGCACCAGTCGCTCTCAGGAGGCCACCCACGTGGGGCCATCCCTGAGGCAGGCAAAATCCCAGCAAGCAGGACAGCGAGGAGGCAGAAAGAGAAGGAGAAGTCCCTAGTTCCTCCCTTATAAAAAGGGCGCCCCCCCAAGGAGGCAGCACCAGGCTGTGACTGATGGACAGGTTGGATTCCACCCCTACATGTTCATACCCATCCCAGTGAACCTAAAATCTGCCCCCAACACCTTGGTGGTGTCAGAATGGTCTCTGTGTGTGAAGAAAGTGCTTCTTCTGAGCACGTTGGCATCTCTAGCGACTCTATAAGTTTGAGATCAAAGGCTTCACATCAAACCGGTCTGGACTCGGTGTCTTCTTGTATGTTCTGTGGGGCTCCTGAGAGGCTCTGAGATTTTCGTTGAACCATTCAGAGAAGGAAGTACTTTGTAGTCTAACGTTTCTCACCCTACCCTAAAGATGATTCCAGATTTCAAACAACAAATATCAGAACTGGAGAAACAGAAGGAAGAGTTGGAAATGCGGCTGAATGAACAAACTGAAAAACTGAGAGGTAACTGAGAGCCTGCCTGAAAGAGGGGCACCCTGCACCCAAGAAGGGACTCAGGATAGTCATCTTCCCCGGGGGTCTCAAACCCATCCTCCCCTGGGCCAGGCAGCATCGGGGTGGAGGGTAGAAGGGACTGGAGTGAGTGCCCCATGTAAAGGGGTCTCGGAACTTATTTCGTTGTGGGCAAGTGGGAACATTGTAGAGTAGCTGTTTAAAATATTTTTTTATATATTGTTCAACCCAAACAAAGCCTAATTGCTAGCTGGATAATTGGAGACATCCAAAAACTGAAAATAAGACCAAACCCAAAGCAGAATTCAATCATATGGCTCCCCAAATGCAACATTTCTTTTCCTCCTAGGAAAACTGGAAGAATTGTCTACTCCGTTGAATTACAGCCGTGAAGAGGACAGGACCCTGAGGAAGTAAGTGTTCATGTGTGTGCTTCAAGTTCATGTTCATGTAATGTTTCTCCTAAATGGCAGGAGATTCTGGGGCTTGTTTTTCATCCCCAAAGCACGGGACTGATAAATGTTCTTAATATTTCACCATTTCAGTCGAGGGCCACCCAGAGGCTGTCTGGGTGTACACATTCACACCATCTGTAGCTGCATAGACAATCTGTGGGAGAATGGACAAGACACAAAACATTGGTTGACTCCGAGTGAGGAGCTATGTCTAGGTCACCTTTGGAACGTTATACTATGTTCATGAATTACCTGCTTTAAAAAGTGGATACAATAACAACTGAACAGGAGAGAAACGTTTTTTTTCCTAGCAAATTATTAGTGTCAGATTTCAAATCTGTGTTGATGGACAATTTTCATTGCTAACTCCCTACCCTTTGCCCCCCCGCCCCCACCGGACTGCCCAACATTTATATCCTGACCAGCCGAGGGTGCAGTGCCCTGGTGGAGCCCTGTGAGGAGAATCTTTTGTTTCAATGCCGGCTTGTTGTGACACTAAACTTTCTAGAACAGTGAATGGACACTCCACATCTCTGATTTTTCAGCGTGTGACTTCTTATAAGACCAAATGGGGACCCAGAAAGCAGGAAAGTTCTGGGCTACCATGCCCCAGTCCCTAGTTCTTTGAGTGTCTAGTTCCCAGGCTGTTTACCAAGGACCTAGACATTTGACTCTTGGTGGTAAGGGTGAGGTGGGTGTGGAGGTCCCGAGGGAGCAGTGAAGGATGAGATGACAGTAGGCGTATCTTAGCAGATTGGTGAAGTGACGAAGCAGTCCCTCTCCATCCGGTCCAACCCTGATCTCTGCCACCCCCTGGAAGGGCTCTCAGTTCAGGTGCACACCTTGGCCATCGTCATTGCTATGGCAGCGAGGGACTTCTCCATGACGGTCCAACTGCTATTAAAAAAAAAAAACAAATAGAAATAAAAAAGAATCCTTTTCATCTCTTCTCAGAGCCAACGAGGTCCCAAACGAAATGGGCACCGGAGAGAAAGAAAAGCTCATCCGCAAGATGCAAGAAATGCGGGAGGTCATCGAGCCCTTGAAGAAACAATTCGACACGGAAAGCGAAGTCAAGAGCGGCTTCCTGCAGGAAGCGTCAAGACTCACCCTGGAAAACAGAGTGAGCAGCTCTCCAGCTGGTGGACAGAGGGCTGCCTGCAGGCAGAGCCTTGCCGTTCAGCTCCATCTCACGCGGCCCGTGGCGGGGGAAGGGGGGTGTGCTTCAGAGGGTTTTAAGGCTGTGGGCTCTCAGAAGCCTGTCTTCCGAGGGACTTCCAACCTAAGTGCTAGGAGTCAAGAACTTGACTCTCTGAGTCACCCAGCCCATCCTCCCCCTCCCCCCCTCCCCAAGCATCCTTCATAGCAAATGTTTCAGACATCCAAGACTCCTGGGCTTCTAGACCACATGAAGCATCGCCAGGCCCAACCAAATTTTTTAAGTATTTCTCTGCCTTCAGCTTCTGACAAGCCAAAGAGTACATTTTTCACAGTAAACGTTTTACATTTTCGGTAATGAGCATTGCATTGTAGTCAAGAGCGGGCAAAACTCCACTTCTATCCAGTTGATCACAAGTCGGTGACCCCATGTGTGTCGGAGTAGACCCGTGCCCCACGGGGGTCTCAATGGCTGAGGTGGTTTGAAGTGTAGACTGCCGAGAACTGGGCAGACTTGTACTGCCAGCCTGTCACGTAGCAACTGAAAGCACGCACTATAGCACCCAGAGGCTCCGAGGGAGAACAGTGGGTCAGTGTGAACGAGTCTGTCCCTCTGGTGGAATACCATGAAACCATAAACAAATGAAGTCAGGCTGTGTGGTATATAGCCTGGACAGACCTGGCAATCATGACGCAAGGTGAAAGAGCCAGGCACAAAACGCCACATCGTGTCCAACTATATTCATCTTAAATGTCCAGAATAGGAAAATCCACAGTGATCAGGGGATGGCAGGCCGGCTCTGTGACTCTCCGGAAGATTACTGACTCGCGCACTGTTAATGGGTGGATTGTATGGCATGGGAAATACATCCCACAAGAGCTGTGTCTCCAGCAAGTGAATTAAGACACGTCTAAGCAAATGTCCGTGTTCCTTTATATTTCTGCAGGATCTTGAAGAAGAGTTGGACATGAGGGACAGGCTGATTAAAAAGCTACAAGACCAAGTTAAGACGCTCACCAAGACCATTGAAAAAGGTAGGGGATCGGGGTCACTTTCCTATGCGTTTGTGTTTACGGCCAAGGTCCATGTGCCTTTAATTGTACCTTTCCTGATGTGTGGTCCCAAAGGAAAGAAAGGATTAGTCAGGGTGGCGTCTGGGGCCCAGTCATTAGTTGCTGGGCTGATCCTTGGAGGCGGGAACACACTTCTCCAGTTAATACCAGTAAATACAAGTTTCCCTGTCAAACAACGTAAGAGTCAAAGCGCTTAGAAATGGACTGCTTGGAAATGCGCCTTCTCTTCCCAGTGCGTAGGATCAGTATCCTAATTTGCATGCGAAGAAATGGATCGTGATCTACAAAGCTCGCGAGCACTCTGCACATGGCCCTTTATTTCTTCTTCGGCTTTGAAGAGCTCCTTCATTCTCAGCTTTTCAACTGTCACCTCAAGTTTAAACTGCCCCCCGCCAAACCAAGGATCTCTCCATCCTTAATGAATGACAGGCGTCTGCTCCAGGAGGGTGTTGTCCCCACGCTCACTGTGGAATGAATGAACTGACATCTCTCCATTAAAGCCAACCAATGCCCAGGGCTATCCCGGTGACTTTATCTCTGAGCCACCCCACGTGGGATGGCTAAGACTGTACCTCGTGGTGGAAGCAGACGGCTTGACGATCATCTTCCTGGGGACCAGCTGGTGACTGTGACCTGCCCACCTCCTTCTGTTCGGCAGTCCAAGACCGACCCCACTGCTCCACCGGCTCCTTATCTCCACATGAGGGCTACCAAAGCCACAGTCCCACTCTCCTGCCATTCCCTGACTCCCGCTCCCCATTGGCCTCTAAGACGTGTGCCTTCTTTGCTTTTCTGTTACCACCTCCAACTCATCGTGTCTGACGCCAGACTCGTCAGCTTCTGGAGCTGTTGATGCTTACCGAATTACCGCCAGACCCAGCAACTGAAAACAATCAGCGTTTACAGTGCACAGTCTCTGAGAGTCGGGAGTCCAGGAGCAGCTTAACCAGATGGTCCTGGCTCAGAATGAGTCAAGTTGCCGGTCAGGGGGACGATGATGGGAAGGCTCAGTTGAGGCCCAAGGGTCTGCTTCCAAGCTCAGCCACGTGGCTGCCAGCGGGAAGCCAGTATCTTTGGAAGGCGCTGTAGTTCCAGGCTCCCTGTAAGAATGTGCCCAGATTCAAGTCACTGCGCCCAGGGATAGCCAACGTGGGTCTCCATCGGGCGTGTCTGTTTCACGTATGGTGCTCCTGGCCCAAGTGCCCTTTACTAATTGGGAGCCATTGTTTTCATGAGCCATATTTCCAAATAAAGCAATGAATAGTCTACTTGTATCAGTATCCAGAGGAACAGAGTTAGTAAGTTAGCCAAAGGAAAAATCTCCATGCAGCAGTAGGAGTGTTTTGTTAACCCTTGACTCAAACCCCCCCCCCACTTTTCTTGGCCCAATTGCAGTAGCACTGCCTCCATGAATAAGGTGACCAGATTTAAAGCAGGACACCATTGACCCAGGGTGGGGAGGGGAGAGGTTCTTGATGAAAAATTTGGTCTATATGGACCAAATAGACCATTCCCTAGCTTGTCGTGCCTTCTTTCCAAAAATCGGGACTTTTAAAAAATGCCAAAAATCAGGACTGTCCCGCCAAAAGCGGGACATCTGGTCACCTTATCCATGAAGCCTCTTCCAACTGCCCCAGCCTAGCCCTGCAAGGATTCCCATGGCCCCTGTTTGGGGTCTTATTGCCGCTGTAAAAAAATCTAAAACGACACAGTGTCTTATTTTGCAGTTCTAGATGTCAGAAAGTCCCCAAATGGCTTCCATGTGGCTAAAATCAAGGGCGACATTCCTTCTAGAAACTGAAGACGGGTCTCTTTGCTTGTCTTTTGCTACACACCTTGGGTCTTGCCTTCTATCCTCAGATCTTCTTTCAAGACCACCGTGAATCTTGGAGGCCAGAGAACAGATTGTGCCTTTCCCTGCTCCCTCCACACTCCCAAAATGTCCTCATCTTCATTCTTAACACCTGAGAGCCTGTTACCTTATATGGCAAAAGGGCTTTTGTAGGGGTGATTAGATTGAGCATTTTGAGCTGGGGAGATTATTCTGGATTATCTAGACAGAGATGTCAGAGGGAGAGGGAGAGACGTGCTGAAGAAAGCAGAAGTCAGAGCGGTGTGGGCACAAGCCAAGGCTTCTAGGTGACCTCTAGAGGCAGGGACAACAGGCAAGGAAGTAGTCTCTACCATTGAATCTCCAGAAGGAAGGCAGCTCTGCTGACCCTGATAGGTTAACCCCATCAGATCCACTTTGGACTTCCAGCCTCCAGAATTGTTAGCTAATAGAATTGTGTTGTTTTTAGCCATCATGTTTGTGATCAATTGTTACAGCCGCAATAGGAAACGGATACAGCCCACTTAGGATCACAGCATTAGGAATTATTTATACCAAACGTTTCATGAGTTTTGTTCCTTTAACTGTAACGTTAGCATCTTAAAGCCAATGTCTTGAATATCTTTCACATCCCCTCTGTCAGGCACGCATGCAGACTCCTTCCAGGATAAACTTGGCCTTTTAAGCAGCAGTTGTAAATATCCTCACAGGAAGGAATCCCTCCCAGGAGAAATTCTTCAGGAACAATCAAATTTGAATTTCTTTCAAAGCCATACGAGTTCATGTACAACTCAACTAAAATTGGGTGGAAGGAGAGTACATAGTCGGAGTCTTGCTTTAGAACCTGTGAAGTGTGTGTGTGTGTGTATTTAGCTGACTGTTTGCCTTTGTCTACAGCCAATGACGTGCACTTGCCTTCAGGACCCAAGGAGTACCTTGGCATGCTGGAGTACAAGAGGGAAGATGAGGCCAAGCTCATTCAGAACCTCATTCTCGGTAATAAAACCAGAAAATCGAAATCTCTGCTTTGCCCTTGAGAATGTGCACACTGCTTGGTGCCTCAGTCCTTGAAAGGGGCATCCCTTCTGCTCTTTCTTCTTGCTACTTCTTCTCCTTCTTCCTCCTAGCCCGGGTTTTCTCAACAGCAGCGCTGTTTGACCAGATAATTCCTTGCTGCAGGGCCCTGTGCATTATAGGCTACTGAGCAGTATACCAGACTTCCACCCACTAGAAGCCGGTAGCAACCTGTAGTCATGACAATAAAAACGTCTCCATGGATCATCAAGTTGTCCTCTTGGGGAGGGCAGGGGCACAATCACCTGCAGGTAAATGCCACTGCCTTACCTTTTCCCAAGTCCAAACATAAGACAATCGAAAGACCGCATCCCTGTGTTTCAACCGAAGAGCCACAAGGGAGTAATCATAGCTTCTGTGTGCCATTTGATGTCTACAGAGAAACTGATTTGCAGGCAATATGGCGGGCTATCCCAGCCATGCCCCAGTGACTGAACTGTCCCACTGTGGGGGCTCAAGCATTGAGGGTCTTAGACCCAATCCTACTAGACCATTTCACCACCATCTTCTCCACAGTGTGAGCCGGAGGGTGGGGAGCAGGAAAGAGTTAGCCTGTCTTTCAGCTAGTCCCAAGATCTCTACGCAGAAAGAGCCTTACTCCTTTTTTTTCTAAGGGACCCCCCCCTCCTATACTTTCCTTCCCCCCTTCCCCAGTAGGCAGCTGCGGGCCTCTGCCTGGTTCCACTGGCTCGGTGCAGTTGGGGTGATTCTTTGCCTCCTGCATGGGGGCTTCAAAACGTTGGTGGGAAAACAGAAGGAGAGGCTAATGGAAACTGCCCACACCTTTCTGACACGCCCTCCCCCTATTTCCATCCCTCGAGAGGAATAATAGATGAAGAGCATAGGAGAGGGGCCCCCCTTCGCCCCCTCCCGGGGCTGTGGCATTGGCCCCCAGGTTCAAGTTCTCCTGTACTGTGTCTCCTTGCTGGTCTCGCACCCAAGGCCAGTGAGGTGTCCCTGCAGGGCTGTCATCTACCTGCTTCCCCTACTCGTCTACCTGCTTTCCCTACTTGGCGCAGGTCCATGTGACCGCTGGGCTGGTATTATCAAAGAGGCTCAGGTGGGGGGTGGGGGTCAGGACTGGGGTTCCTATCCTACATCAACCAAACAAACAGTTCAATGCCCTCGAGTCAATCCCGACTCACAGCAACCCTGTATCAGGGACCTGAAGTTCAGGGGCGCCATGCCAGAGAAGAGGTGCTCCAAAAGGGAACTCTTCTTAAGGCTTGTAAACAGTGGAAGGGACTTTGCAAATGAGAAGAGAAGTGGGTGCCTCCCATGTACTTTTGCCAAGAGAGGCACCAGACAGGCTTCCTCAGTGAGAAAAACCATCCCCGTGTATTCGGGCATGGCCTCAAATGCTGAGAAGCAAACAGAATCCCCTGGCCGCTTGTCAGCGCTAACCCTGTCCCCCTCAATCACCCTCTCTCGGCTGCAGACCTGAAGCCTCGCGGTGTGGTGGTGAACATGATCCCGGGGCTGCCGGCTCACATCCTCTTCATGTGCATCCGCTACGCAGACTCCCTAAACGACGCCAGCAGGCTGAAGTCCCTCATGAACAGCGCCATTGACGGCATCAAGCAGGTGGTCAAGGTAGGCGCCGCCTTTGGTGGTGACCGCCCCGGGGTGCATCTAAGGGCCGAGAACGGGATCTTGCAAAGGTTCGTGCCCCAGGCAAAGGAAGTCCATTGCCAATTTCCTTTCTAGCTTTGGCAGCACCCTGGAAGCGTGTTTTAACGTCACTGACATTTGTCCTGCCAACTCATTAAAGGATAAAAGAATAATTAAGCATTGAAGGCACCTTTAAATAGCTCTGGGTCCTTGTTGGCAAGTCTCATTAGGGAGACTTCCAAACATTTAAAAGCAAGGCTTGATAGAAACAGTGGCTTTGGAGAGGTTGGGAGTTCAATTCAGGGCAGAGAGGGCAACTCAGAGGTTAGGACAACTGTTTCCTAGGAATTTCAAAAGGGTCATCTTGATCGATTTTCTTGAAGGATACAGAGCAATTGGGGTATTATAGAGAAGTTTGGTAAATAAATAAGAAGTTTGAAGATAAT